AGGCTCCTTCCGGCTCCCTCGCGGGCACAGCGCCGCGTCTGAGGGCTCGGGAGGGGAAGGTTTGCGGTTTGGTGTTGGGGCGTCTCTTTTCAAGGACTAATCTGTGGTCCCTGAAATAAACAATGTAACTAAATCCTGATTTGATGAGGGGTTTGTTTGTTTTTCTTCATTTCCTTAACGAAACCCTTTCCTAGGTTCAATTCAGTTTGTTCCTTAGTAGCTTGTTGAATCTCTGCTGATTCCTTTGTGCTTTTGTGTTCTTTCTTCTTCCAGTCTTCCTCCATCCTCCAGCCCCAGTAATGCATTACAATTATCTGACCCAAAACCATTTTCATTATCCTCACAGATTGTTTTAGGCTTGCATATGTTTTCCCATAAGACAGTACATTGAAGTTTTATGCTTTTGTCTCAAATGGTAGTTGTACTTCGTGGAGGTTTTCATATAAATTAACATCTAACACAAAGTGATTGTTTAGTATTATTCTATTTCTAGGATATTATAGAATTGTAAGAGACTACCATGATATTTTTTTTAACTTCTTGCATATCATGCATACTTCTTCTAATTTTATTAATTAAATTCCTATATGTATTAGTGTACCCTATACATTCTTGCAAAATTGGGGCAAAAATTTCAGAGAGCAAAAGTTTTAAATGATAATTTTATCCATTGTTTTTTTGTTTTGCTCTCACACCTTGAGTTGAAAGGCCTCCTAGTGTCAGCTGTTGCCCTAAGTGCATTTTTACAGCTTTGATCTAAATATCTTCATATGTCAGTAATTTACAATGTTAACGGTGCGTTTCTTAAAATTATTTTTATCATCTCCTTAAAGGAAAGAAAAATAGCAGCAAAATTGCACTATGCAGGCATGGGCAGATTTGAGGCATAATTCTTTGTGTCATTTAAATGTCATGAGAAATCACAACTCCAGTGTTGTGATGGTGTTGTTCTGTCAGCTGTTGTGTGCAGGTTCTTTATGGAAACCCAACCTAAGTGATCTCTTCACCACATGAACTGGACTCACCAGCCATAGGTTTTTAAGCATTCTTGTGTAATACATCTGTTTCTCACCGTTCTCTTTTAAAAATAGTGTAAGCTCCACAGCTGTGCTTTCTGAGATCTATAGGATAGAAAAATGTGTGATGTTTTATTGTGGTATTTTTTAGTCTGAGAATCATTTTTTCAGACAAAAAATACAGCTTCTAGTTTTATAATAAAAACTGTAATTTCAGAAATTATTTTTGTTGAATGGTTTTGCTTTTTCTAGTTTGATTTCACTCTTGATGTGCAGAATACTTATGCCATTGTATCTGGGAATGTGACTTGATTTTTCAAAAACAGCAGTAATTTTTCTATAAAAGACAGCAGAGAGGCTGTTTAGGAAGAACCATTGTGCCATGGACATGGCTCTTGACTAAGGGTCTGAAGCCACTTTTTTGTGTCATGTTCTTCATTCTGTCTCAAAGACACCCGTTCACATGTTATCCTTGTTTTTTCTGTTGGTGTTGTTACCTTTGTTTCACAACATGTAATTCATAAATCATACTTATTTGGGATTTTTTAAAAGTCTGTAGTGATAATATCATCCATAGCAAAGCAATGTGAAGCTACCACAGAACTGACACAGACCTCTGTTGTCCTTTGAGTTTATAGGTCCCCCAGGTTATATATTCCATAGTCATTAAATTAAATTAAAAAGAGATCCCTGGATGTGAATCGGGTGTTTCATTGTGTGGGAATCTTTCAGACACACAGTTAGAAGGAAGCATATGTTAAAATGGATCTCTGTGCATTTTGAAATGCAATTAACTCAGAAGGCTGGAGGTGCCCTTGTCTAACTTCGTGAAATTGAGTTTTATAATTGTTAGACAAGGGCAGTATTGGTGCTTACTGCTACCTGGTTCATTTTTTTTAGGATGCGACAAATGGTCCTCGGTCTTTGCTGCACTGGGCTGAATTCAGAAGGCACAGCGGCTCAATGTGGAGGCACAGACCACGTTTGCTACTGGAATAAGGCAACTACAGTGGAAAAAATACCTTCTCCTAGTCCCAGAGTAAGTTTGACTCAGAACAGTGGTGTGATTTTTAAAAGTGTGTTGCTACATCCGCTTTCACAGATTGGATTTTTACACAGATTTTATGGTAATTTTAAATAAAATCCAATCTGACATGATGGTTATAGAGAAGAAGCATTTGTGAGGAGATCACAATTTGTTTCTTAAAATGGAATTTACTCAGAAATGTACTGCCTGTTATAAAGCCACCCGCCAGAAAATGGCAGTTACAGTGTTTCAGGAAATGCTTTGTGTTTACATGTTCATTCAGAAGAGGCACAGTTATGATTAACAGACTCTGAACTTAACCCACTTTTTTTCATCTGTGTGCAAAGTCCATGTATTATTCATGCTTGCTTCCGTGGGTTTTTTTACATTTTCCACATAAAAGATTGAGTGGGCTTTTTTCTGTGAAGATCTATGCCAGTAGTCATGGCTTGTGGATAATTCTGCAGTTCAAAAGCCTCGAAGAAATATTTTTTATTTTCTGGGCTTATAATCAATGTATTTAAAATAATAAAATATTGTGTGTCAAAACTGTTAGTATTTATTTTCTAAGGAAGTCTAATGCACTCATTAAAAGTCCATTTAGAATAGAATTTATCTGATAGAACTGTGTGAAGAAGGATTATCAGGATATAATGTATTGGACAGAAACAGCAAGCTCTTGGGAAGAACCCATTTTTAGGTAGGATATAGGCTCTGAAGCTGTGTTCTATCTCTATGGCTCCTCAAAAAGACAGAAAAGCAAAATAGTTGAGGCAGTTAGAATTTATACTATCCTTTAAAGACTGCTTTTCTGTGCATCTAGGGTAACAAAGCTAGAAGAATACATAATTTATATAAGGGTTTTTATTTCAAAAGTGTTCTTTTTAATGTAATCACAGAAAAAAGTACTCTGTCTTTATTATCCACGTATCCAGGGAGTGGGGGTGTCTTTTAAGATCTCCAATTATTTTTGGAATTTCTTTTGAGATGTCAAGCAGTTATTTAAGGACAATCATTATTCCCAAGACATGACCTTGTGCAGGAGGGGTTTATAAGAATTACAGACCAAAAGTAGTTTGTAAGGACTTTCGAGTTATTAATAATGCTAATAATAATAATTTTCAAATTGCAACAGTCAACTTTTGCAAATGACTGGGATTAGTTGATTTTCTAGTCTTCTGCAAAAAGAGCTATTATGAAAGTAGTGGGGCAAGCAATAGACAAGTCTTTAAAGTAACAGTAGTGTTTACTGCTGGAGCACATGCTGAGGAAAAGCATGTCAAGTCTTGCTGTGTCAGGAGTTAATTTTGGCTACTTCTGCTTCACAGAATGGTCACTGTCTTTGTGTTTATGATAAATAGTAAAGGTATTTTAGTGGTTTGTGTTCTCTTTGTGCTTGTTCTACGTGGTAGTCTCCAAGTCAACAAGGAGTTGCTCAGAGAGGGGTTACCAGTGTGATAGTACATGTGTTGACAAAGTATGTAAATGAAAACGGTGTTTTGGATTATAGACTAGAAACTCAGTTTTCTAACAGTTGTGGCATACAGAGGTTTGGTTTTTTTGAGTATCAGTCCTAAGAATCGTCCATATTTAATATTTTTTGTTGTTACAGTGTAAAGGATTTAATTTTATTAATATAATGTATTTAAAAATGAGAGATCTTGAAACATATTCAGTCTAGATGTGTTTTGGATTATTTTCTAAAGTTTTAAGATTTCAGAAAGTGGAGTTAGAGCTTTCTATGTCTTGTTCTAGTTAAAACAGGACAGGTGTTCTAATTCAGGCCTAGCATTCAAGTCAACAAATTAATTTAACTTGAAATAAAAAAAATTCCTAGGAATTTAAGGGCAAACATTAATTTATTTTATTTATTTTTTAATGCTCAGTGTAGCTGTGATAAATGCTTTGTGCTAATGGATTTTTTTCTTTAATAATTGTCTTCCTGTTCTCTGAATTTACAGAACAACTGACAATACAAAGGACAATGCACAGTGTATATGCTGATGACATTTTGTGTGCTGTGACATGGTTTTTGCCATGGCATCTGAGACTGAAAAGGCCCATGCTCTCCTCCAAACTTTCAGCACAGCTTCAGTTATTTCTAGTCTAGGTTTAGGAATATTCTGCTTTGTAGCAGACAGACTTCTGCAGTTTTCCTTCATTCAGCAAAATTACTGGCTCCGAGCCTTATCCGATAATGCAGTGCATGGCATACTAGGAATGTGGTCCTGGGCAATAGTGATTGGACTCAGAAAGAAAAGTGACTTCACTGAGGTCACTCTGGCTGGCTTCCTCGCCTCTGTCATTGATGTGGACCACTTCTTGCATGCTGGCTCTCTGTCATTGAAGGTAAGTGAATAGGTCAGTGATTAACTGTTTTCTCTCTTCATCAGTGTTTACTTTATTTGTTCTTTTGCCACATCTTAATTTTAAAAGTTCCAATGATGCTTTAATTAGATCAATTTTAATAGTTATATGGGAATTACGTTTGGTATACGTTTAAAAGCCCTAAAAATATTTTCTCTTCTGTCAAGTTCTGCCTCTTAAAAGGCTTCGAAAAAACAGTTCTGAAAGCCTTTATATGTGATATCCTATGCGTATCACATAGTTGCTTTTTTTCTCAAGTTAAACAGTTAAGTTCTGCCCTGCAAGCTTTGTATGTTAAGTGGATGATTCCACTTCTGTTTATAATAAGGGCTAGAAATATCTGGAAGGTAGATAATCCAGCTGCTGTTTGTTTTTGTTCAGTCTTACCAAGTACTACATTTGATTTTAGCCAGTCCTAAATATTTCTCACACAAACAAGCTATATATGAGGTGTCACCTTTAGAAATGTAGTCTGGGTGTGTACGTAATCATCATCCTATTGCAGAACTGCTTGTTAGGACATAGTGTCTCAGTGGAATTAGTACTATCAGATTATGGCATCCTTTTTAATTGGTTGTCACATGGTTTAAATGTGTCCTGCTCCCACTTCCCCATTCACACATGTACATATATCCCTGTCTTCATGCCTGCTCCAAACATACATACCCAGCTTTTTCTCACCACAACAGTCTCTTCCATATACTCTCCAAAACATTTGCAGCTTCTGTAAGCTCCAGCTGTGCCAGTCCTGGCCACAGTTCTCTTAACACTGCCCTCCATATCTCATACCTCAGGCAGATGCTTCTTGCCTTCAGCTAGCTCCTGGTCCCCAAAGCTAGAGCTCTGCCACTCTGCTTGTTACCAGGAATTTTCTCTGCTAAGCAGCACAA